TATGTATGTATGTATGTATGTATGTATGTATGTATGTATGTGTGTATTTTTGTGTGTATGTGTGTATGTATGTATGTATGTATGTATGTATGTATGTATGTATGTATGTATGTATGTACATACGTACGTAGGTATGTATGTATATGTATGTATGCATGTAGGTATACGCATGTATGCATGCATGCATGCATGTACGTATGTATGCATGCAGGCATGCATTCATGTACTACATGTGATGTAACATAATGTATGTAATGCATGTAGTGTGTGTAATCTTCGATGCGCAGCGAATGCGACTAGGGTAAGCCATTACGCATGCATGTATGTAAATTCACATAAATATGTACGTATGTATCAAATAAGTATATGTGTGTACATACATATTATACACATACTTATACATATATGCATATACATGCGCACACACATTATATATATATATATATGTATCCACATCTATATATACATCATATACAGACATACAAATCCAAAACAGATATTTCGAGCTTCACATGCAGATCGCATGCCCAGGTCGCATGAATTCGAGTGCAGCCATGCATTGCGGTTCAGGTGCCGTCCCAACGGGCCATGCAGAAGCTTAATCTCGCACATGACGGGATCGCCCGACAGCTGCAGCAGCAGGCGCCTGGTTACGCATACCAGCAGCGAGACGAATAGACTCGGATAGACATGACGATGGTAATGCTCGTAGTAACAGTAGCGGACTAGTACAGGTAGCAAGAAGAGGAAGGATGCCACCAGCAAATACACGACAATTTCGCACTGCTGGGAGCAATAAATCCAGTAGCATTAGCAGTCAGCATGGCGCTAGCAGCCAGCATAGCAGCAATCATGGCGAAAACCTTGCCCCCTACTAGTCTTGATAGTCGTGCTGGCAAGAACTGCCCTACTAAGTTAAGTAGTAGTCATGGCGATACGTCTTACAGTAGCAACGATAGTGGCCTGCTTTGATGCTTCTGTTGCTTGAACCTGGCGCCGACCTGCACCCTCCAAGCGGTCCCAAGCAAGACGTGGGCTGCTTTGCATTGCTCTGGTACCCGATTCACAGGAGACGGAGCTCATGACCCTCCGGCGCGACCGGGATACCATGCAGAAGCGCCTCAAGGATGTGGAAGAGGAGATGGGAAGAAGCGTGAGAAGACTTGGGGTTGGAGGAGAAGATCCTTGTGTGCAGCTTGTGTGCATCTCGTCCTAGCTGTCTTTGGTTCAAGGTACAGGTTCCGGACTCATGTGACATAGTGACATAGTGCCTAGCGACTCGTTCGGCAGTGCTGCAAGCTATGACAAATAAGAAATAACCCATAAGCTAAGCCCGCTGTGTGTCTTCTCCTAGAGTCAGGTACTTCACAGACTTCACAGGATATGTTGTTGCGATTGTAAGAAGCAGCCTTTTTCAGTCAAGCTCATACAACCTGTGCAGACGGTGCGTATTCAGCGCAAAATCCGAACCAGCCAAGCCGCAAACTAGCCGCACGCAAGCTTGTGCTCCATGTACAAGCAGTCAAGCAATCCTGCTTGAGTCCCTCGATGTCCATGTGGCCATCACCTCGGCCCTGCTTGCCCCTCGTGGCTGAGCCGCCCCAGTTTGGCCGGCGTGCGGGTTCGCGTGATAGGCCGGGATGTGTGAAGCCACAGTGCAGCGTCCGCGCAAGCCGAAATGGCAGCGATGAGGGCCCCTGCGTAGGTCCCTGACACTGCGGGCCGGCCCGGCCTTGTTTTTGGCCATTTCCGCATCATCGCACCAGCCAGCGAGGTGCGACGGGTCTCTTCAGGGGAGGCTCTCCGAAGCACGGGTTTGTTTTTACGGCCAAGCCATCGAGAATCGCGCTCGAAGGCGATGGAGAAGCGTAATGCGGAGCAATGGCATTCGCCAGCTTGGTGAGACGATCCGGTGGCTCCGTTTTGAATACTGAGTGCGGAATTGAACTTTGATTTATTGGTGTAGAATGAAAAGCTGCTGATTCTAGAGGATACGGCAGCTCATTGTTCAAACAGAGCCTTAGCCGTGCAGCTTTTTCGATTACAGCTTGCCGCGAGCGTGGCAGCGTTGCATCAAACGGAGCAGGGCACTCCTAAGATAATCGGTTCGCCAGCGCCATTAGGCGAGACGACCATTGTCGCAAGCAGAATCAGGACAGCTTCAGACAAGATGTTTCGATGGCAACGATGTAAATTTTAATATTGATGACCATGGCACTACTGCTCACAGGCAAGATAAAAAGCACGGAGCACCAAAGTGCCAAGCCCAGGCAGCGCCTCTTTGGAAGTGAAGGCCGGCTCAAGGCACGTTTGGGCTCACTGGGCACGGTGATGGGTGGCTCCATTTCATCAATAGCTCTGATTTGGGGTTCATGGGGATTAAGGACCCCGAGTGCCCCTGCAGAAAGGTTTCATCATGATCTTCACATGTTTGCGGGGCGGGAGTCCGTGAGTGCTGTGCTTGTTCCGCAACAGGAGCTCCCGAATCTCATGAAAACGCCGCAGATGATCTATGAGGTTCGCCGCATTAGAGGGTCACACACGGTTGACTTAGCGCAGGCAAGTTTTGATTCGTGTGGCTCCAACGAGGCTCTACACTTAGAGCCTGGAGTCGGCATAGGCTGTAGACACCTGCCAGGAGAAGCTGCGACCTTTGGAGAAACAGCTCCAATTTGAGAACTTCTACGACACAGCCGAGCTAAGTGCTGCATACTTCACGTCGAAGCCGATGGTCCTCGTCCTAGGCCAATACTCGACAGGGATTCTCGGCATGATCGTAGCTAGTTAAGCTAGTTCTGATGATGCTGACTGCACTGTTAGGAGGATCATCGGTTAGTCAGCCGCACCCAAGTGCTCTGTACCCGAGGAAAAGCACTCTGATCTCGAAGCTCTTGAAGGCCAGTTGCATTTGTCAAGGTTCCACTGCTTTTCGCGAGGCATGGTTCTAGGTTCACTGGAGCTCACTAGGCCAGACTGAAACAAACCACGCATCGGAATTCAGCTGGCAAACGACTTGATGGACTTTTTTGCGGTCAACAAAAAGCATTCAGCTTGCGAAGTATAGGTGCTACAACCTAATGTATCTAGAACTGTGATGATCTTTTGCTTCTTGTTGCGTGCAGGCGGAGTATCCGGGCCTTCGTATTGGACCCGAGCCCACCACGGACAAGCCCCTCGGCGGCACGGAGCACCGACCAGTACCCACCTCCCCTGCTCGTTGGCCCATTTGTAAGACGCCACGTAAAGATTCACGAGCAAATAATGAGGGAACCACAAATGCGTCAGAAGGAGTTGTCCAACTATCTCATTTGGGGTTTGCTTGCAAGGAAGAAGACTTGGTTCTTCCTGCTGGCACGGGAGGCCTAGATTATCCAATGCCCTTGAAGCTTGCCGAGCGTGTGGACCGAACTCTTAGCTACGGGGTCGCAAGACTACACTGGAAGCCTCAGCCGCACCGCTAATTATGCAGGCTAGCTCGATTGTTTCTTATTCTGCATCAGCCTTCTTCGTTCGCAATCCCGGCGCTTTGAAAACTTCAGATGCACCACCTAAGTCACGCGAGGGCAGTTGCAGTCTGCATCGGTGGCGAGAATTCGCATGGGCAGGTAAGTGCTCGCAGCACGACAATATTACTATCGAGGGTATGCTGCAAGAAAAGACTTCAGGTTCGTGGCCATCATGGGTGGCCCCTCCCGCCAACAGTTGCCAGGACGGATGGTTCACGTGGTTTCAGGCTTACGGTTTCTGGTGCCTTTGCATGTTTCAAAAGGTGCTGGCTCCCTGACCTCGATGCAAGAAAGGGTCCAGGGTGCTAAACGAGGGTCAAGCTCTGTACAGAAAGGTGTAGGCTTGCATGAGCTAATTTAAATTTAAAGTTCTGCAGTAGAATGCCCGGGTGAGGTTTGCGGGTCTAAACTGACACGTGAAGCCCTCTCGATCTGTGTCATGCTGCTTGACTTTGCAGCCGTTCTGCCGCCTGGCTGTTCAGTCCTGGAAGTCACAGGCTTCGCGCTCTGCAGCAACCCCTCGCAGCCTTTTGGGCAGCTTCAGCCGCCCGTCGTGCGAAGTCCCCGTTGCTGGCGATTTTTCGGTGTTGCGGCGTCTTGTCGACATCTTTCCTTATCTTGCCTTCCTTCTGCCTCCCCTCCCCTCCCCTCTCCTCCGCTCCCTTCCTGTGCCTCTCTCTCGGTGTCTCGGCCTCGCTTGCTCTGAGCTGATGCTGGCCTGCAGCGATCCGCGAAAGGATTAAGCCGGACTTGAGCGAGGTGTGGAGGCTTAGGCAATGAAGCTCTGCTCGAAAGGGGAGTAGCGAAGTACCTACGCAGCCCACACATCACTCGACTGCCGGCATGTTGTGGAGAAATGGCGACACAACGTCGAAGACAGCATATTGTAGGCGATTTGATCCCAATCCTTAAGGCGTTTTGGAAGCCGCTTTTTGGAGCGCTTCGAGGGGGCATTGATGCCAGAAGAGGAGGCGCTGGAGGGACAAGCGGTAGCAGCCATCGACTGCGGTTCGGGGGAGTTGAGCAGGGCAACCACATTGGGCAGCTTGGGTGACGTTCACGGATTCTTCAGAATCAAAGGATTGCTGACTTCCGTCCGTATTTCAGGATGTGCTTGGCTTGTGGGTTCAGCCAGGCCTGTGCCTATGATAGACAACAGTGTGATCTTGGGCAGGTGCCGGTGCTGAGCTGCCTCAGCTTCGTGGACACCCCGGGTGTCCTGAGCGGGGATAAGCAGCGTGTGGGCCGCAGCTACGACTTCGAAGGTGGGGAGGGTGGACTGCAAGCTTCTATATCTGCAGGGCAGCACGTTGAGGGTGTTGAGAATCCGAGATTCCTGGATTCCCTACGAGAGCACATCAGTCAATCGTGCATGTCTGACGGGAGGCGTAATGGGTTGGTTCGCCGAGAATGCCGATCTGGTCATTGTGCTGTTTGACCCCAACAAGCTTCTCGGCTGACAAGGCGATGTGGCAGGCAGAAGGTCTGCCCAGTTTGGTAACATGCCATATCGCCGCTGTGGCTTTTACGAAGTGACAGCTCCCTTGGCACAACAACAAGCACCCCGTCGTGCGGCACGCGATGAAGCTCAACATATTTCCTGTTCGTTGTACGACCTCTGAAGTAGCATGACGTCCAGAGGTGTACAGTCGCAAAGCCAGACCCGAGCTCGAGGCTTGACATCAGCGACGAGTTCCGGCGATGTCTGGAAGCACTGGGCAAGAAGAGCGAAAGCAAGATCCGCTTCGTTTTGAACAAGGCACACCAAATCCAACGAGGTAAAAAAGAGGTGGAATTCCTGCCTGGCATCCGCCCAGTTCTCGTCCATCCTGTTCTCGACGGTCCTGACACATATGCCATATGCCCAACAGAGTCATGTCCCCCACACTAGGCGGAGAAGCTCGACAGATTCGAGCTGGCGCGGGTCTTCGGAGCGTTGATGTGGTCGCTGTCCAAGGTGATCAACAGCCCGGAAGCCCGGATGCATCTAGGCTCAGAGCTGCGCCTTTTACCTTGCTAAGCTTTGGGAGCCAAGGAGATGCCGCATGTGTTCTTGAGCCCTGCTTCGAACCAGCTGGACCTCTCGCCAGAGGCTTTGGGTACACCGTGTCGTTTGCCTCGGCATGGTGTTTCGATAGCACCTCAAATGGGAGAAGCCATAATGCAGTTCACATGCCGCAGTTAAGACAGGTGCTGCCATGGACAGTGCGGCATTCTGTGTGCTAAGTCAACGACGGGGGATTTCGACACGAACTGCTCCTTGACGCTTCCGCAAGGATGTCCTAGCAGCAGCAGCAGCAGCAGCAGCAGGAGCAGTCCTTTCTGCAAGAAGTTGCATGCAGTCCCGGAGCACAGGTAGAGCGAAATTTGTAGCAAAATGGCCAATCCAGCATCAGGCCCTTCAGTTGGAAAAGTAGTTCAGAAACGACAGACCATTGCCCCACAATCGAGAGGCACTTGCCTTCTTCCAGTCGGAGGGTGAACGGCTGCGACACTCGGCCACGGTCCAGATTCGTGAAGTTGATACGGGTAGTAGGTTGAGAGACCGAGATGCGCTCGCAATGACACTCGTCATCGGGCCTTAGGTGTCTATCAACTTCAGGGCATAGGAAGACGAAGACGTAAAAGCACAATCCTAGTGAGTCTGCGGCCTGGCTCTGAAGACATCCGACGACCGAGGACAGGAGCTTTTTCAGGTGCCCTTGGACAACACAACCCGCAAGGCCTTCGCAAACATACATTGGTTTGTTCGGTCCTAGTCCTAGCAGTCAGTCAGATTCGGTCATAGCATCGTATGGGCAGAAGCCAATGCAGTCTTCCAGCTTTGCAAACATAGCTGTGCGGAGGTCAACGACCTCCTGCGGAGGGGGCGACTCCTTCGATGCCATGCTCTGCTGGTGCCTTTGCCTGCAGCCCCTGTAGAGATCAGTTGGGAAGCAAGCTGACGGTCATCGAGAAACTGCTGCACTTCGAAGGCAGAGGCCTTGCCCGGTAGCGTCCATCAAGACTTCTTTCTCTTTGCTGATCGATGTTGTCGTCGCCATCCCTATCCATAGCCTATCCGAGCAAAAGCTCGAAGAGCTTGCGAGGTGCAGCAGCTGCTTACATTGCGCGGGCCTTTCGGACGGCGGAAGGCCAAGCCACGGTGAAAGTTCCATTTTCGCGGAATCGCTCGATATTGACACTTCGTTTTTCAGCTGCCTGCCGTAAACAAGTGACACACCTCCTCTCCTCAGCCACGTTGTGGCAATATCACGCAGCATCGTAAGAGAACAATCCAGTGAAGCCGAACACGTTTGGCAGACGGGTAGACCTTGGGTATTGCCGTGCCGAGAAACGCAAGTGAGCCGTTCTTGGGTGTCAGGTGCTGCGGGAGACGATAACCGACCCTGCAACTTTGACTGCATGACCTTCATTCTCCAATGCATAGACTGAGAGCTGCAATCTGAGGTCAAGCTGGCAGCCGAGTGCGCGAAGGTAGCTCAGGCGGGCATTCTGCTGATGGATTCTCTTGCGTCTTCGCATTCATGAGAGCGCGCGTGCCGAAAAGCTTCGGGAAGGCAGATCCCCGAACTGGTCGTTTGTGAGCTGTTTTTTGCTGCTTCTCTCTTGCTTGCCCCGTGCTACTCTCGACCCTCAGCTTCGCAACAGTCGGTTCGGAGAACAGACAATGATAAGTGACTAGCGAGAGATGCTTTGGGGTGGAGCTCGAGGCGTGCATGCATGAGTACGAATCGGGGTGCTGAGTTTCCTGAGTCTTCAAAACTGAACTCCTAGCCTCACCCCTTGCGCTTACTTGCGCCTAACACGAAACCCTTGTCAAGTGACTTGCCAGTCCAGCGGCATTCCCCTGCAAGACTTCCCATCCGCTGCCGCCTTGTTCCTCGGCCGTGGCAGTGTTGAAGTCTTTGGAGTTGAAACATGTTGAAACGTAGTGAATACAAATAGAAATGCGAAGACACCGAAGTGGCATTGTCATAACCGTGCGAATCGCCGCCAACATCTTCCGCCTGACTAATTAGCCATATCTAGAATCTAGCCTTCTTGCAGTCCCATGTTCCTTTTGTGTTCGTTTTGCTGCGGGTGCTGCGTGCGGCTGCATGCACCCGTACGTACAGCTACTTCTTTCTGCTGCTTCCACAAGTGTTGTAGCTATCGTTCCAAGCATTACCTTGCTCGAATCGTCTTGCAAGCATCCAGAGTCTTATGCGTTGCATACGAGCAGCCTGTGTCGTGATGGCTACCGGGTTTGATAACAATGGACATTTTTTATGCAAACCAAGGACGGCACAGTTCTTGAAAATGGGGGACACGCCCGTGCAGGACGTGAGCATGTAGTGCAGACCAAGAGTTTGTGTTCAGTGCCTTTACACACCCCGTTTCCCGGACTTGGCCAGCGTGACTCGCGGTTTTTCGCTGGAACAGGAAGTGCCGTCTCCGCTTCTGCGGAAAGCAGAGGTGCGCCACGGAAAGATTCTTTTGATCTGGAATGTGGCCTGGTGCATTACAGCTCTAGTGGGAATACTTTTCAGGAAGTGTGTTGGAGGCATGTCCAGCTGAGGCAAAGCCTAAACCCATATCTGTTTCTCACGGCAGGAGGCGCTGAGCAAGGACATCCCAGCCTTGCTGGACAGGCTCCCGTGGCTTTGCATATTGACGTCAGTAAGATTGTGCCAGGTGGCCCGGCAGAGAGGAGAGATCAGAAAACACCGGCATGTGCGGCAGCAACAACAACAACAACGAACCTCGAATGCAAAAGCCTGGATGGAGCTAGGACCATGGATCAATGGATCTCCATCCGTTTTTCCAGTCAAGCTTGCAGGACGAAGGGAGCGTGCTGAGTCCTGTAGAATCCCTAGCAGAACCATGGCGGCGATGGCGGTGGCGACACAAAACTTACTAAACGCCACCAAAACAGTATTATGTCTGCCTCGGTCAGATCTCTCCGTCTGTCTATGAGAGAGAACCCGATACTTGCCGCAAGACTCGGCCTCCGTGCCAACTCAGCCAAAAGTTGGGCACATGCACCGTTTGCTATGAGTCCGCCAAAAGGAGTCTTTTCAGAAATGCTGTTGGTCAGGGTGGCTTCTGAGCGAGAGCAGATGATCCAAGAGGCCGCAGCGAGCTTGACTTCGTTTGTTTTGCTGTTTTGCTCTTGCGGTTTCCCAACCGATGTAAACGTAGACCAGTGAAGGCTTGTAGTATGCTGGAAGACCTCAGTGGAGGCGATCCGATGTCGATTGCACATGCCCCCTGAAAGCTCAAGTAGGTTTTGGAGCAGAGCTTCTGGAGGGTTGGCTGGTTTGCACTGTCAGGGACTGCCGATGCTTGACCTGCTGCTGGATTCGCGAACGAAGGAGTCTGCACCTGCTGCCGAGTGAGGCGCAGGTCATTTCTGACGAGCTTGGCCAAAGATGCCAGACTCGGGTCTCCGGGAGGGGAATGTACATAGAAGCTCGGGCTTTGTGCCTGCAGCTCCACAATCTGTCATTGTAGATGCGACCACCAGGCAACGACCTTGGTCGGCAGTAGCACAGGGTAGCTTCGGATGTAGTCGCACAGCTCCCAGTGAGGCAAGCTTCCCCAAATCGTCGATCCGAGGATTTTCTTGGCATTTTTGTTTGAAGTCCGGATAGTTTGCAGCCAGACTTGCCGTCGTTGCCCCAGTCCGCGTTCGAACCCTGCAGACCCAAAATTTGCGGACGAAGGAGCTGGGCCATGTTCACGAGCTCCAACACGAGGTGGCCGAGAAGACATGTCAGAGGCCCAAGGCTGCGGATGCGATTTGCCAAGTGGCGACGGGTTGTCACGACACGTTCTGCCCTACAAGGTCAGCTCGACGAATTCTCGCGGAAGGCAGTGTGAAAGCAACAGAAGTAGCAAAGCTATGTGAAGGTTAGCAGGGCTACTGGTAGCAACTACTAAGTAAAGAACATGATGGCCACCGAACCAAAGCCGTGGAGGCTTCTGCTATGGAGGCCGAGGTTGAAGAGTCTCTTGGCTGACGGTACTTGTATAGCTTGAAGGTTCGATCCTTGTAAGAGCATTCTGCAGCAGATTTATCATTCAAGCTTGCTGCGTGTATCTTGCAGTTGCTGCCAAATTCCCGAAATGCTGGTGCCCCTAGTTCACTGCGTCTTCAGTAATGCAGTGGGGACCAAGGCTGCAGCATCATCTTGCCGATTCTCAGCAGGAGTGCAACATCGGCCGCGCTGTTGCACTTCTTGCAGCTGCGCATTCCGGAGTTATCCGCAGTTGAATTAAGCTTCTCATGTCCTTGACTAGAATAGAACTGAAGTTCCCGTCAGAATCTTTGACTGCCACCGCTGTGATCGCTGAAGGCTCGAAACCTAACCCGCCCGTGAGGCACGTATAGCATAGCAGGCGTACATACAGTCCTGCTCCAAGCCATGCCCGCTTGCCTCTGTGCCTCCGAGCCTCTGCTGGACACTCCTTCTAGCCTGCCAGCTGTGCAGCTGCAGCTGCGCATGGTGGAGAGCACCATAGCAAATGCAGAGCACGATCTAGAGGCATCAGTGAGTCAGGGCAGGATCAGTACATCTGTTCTTTGGGTCGTCCAGGGCTTCGGTTCCAGTATTGTCGGAGGGAAGCAGAGAAGTCTCACTTCGTCTGCAGGCCAGTTGGCTGAACACCTGCTTCCCGCAGCCGGCCCCTGGCTTCTATGTCGATGAGGCCTCGGCGGAGACACGAGAACTCCGGGGGTGCAGGTAATCTTGGCTGATCAACAGGAGTGGGGCTTTGCCGGCGCGCCCCAACTTCGACGGTGCTCCGAGGTGCCCGGGAGGGGAGCAGCAAAGGGCCATGCTCTTCGACCTTGCGCCAAGTCTTATACAATAGAGCTGCAATAGAGCCTCGAGAAAATCTGGACTCTTGGGTATGTCCACACGTCGCAGGCCTTGGGTGACTTCCGCGAGGCGCGGCAAAAGCTGCCGCAAGCTCAGAGGTACGAGAGCACGGCGCGAGCACAGCTTCGAGATTTCTGATAGTTCTCTGCAGTGCGGTCTCCGCTGACTTGGCCTGAGAGGTTACCACCACCCAAAATCACCCAACACCCATCCTCCGACCAAGGGGAGGGGAGGGGGAGACATACCAACTCGGGGGGAAGGTACCACCCTGTACCACACCCCTTTCGGAGAACACAAAACCGACTATCCTCATTTTTAGCAAGAAAGTCTTATACTATTAGCCTTAGTAGCTTTAGTAGTAGTTGTAGTAGTCGTCGTCGTAGTAGTAGTAGGAGTATAGTAGTAGTGGTAGGAGCAGGAGTAGCAATAGTAGTAGTAGTAGTAGTAGTAGTAGTAGTAGTAGCAATAGCAGTATCAGTAGAAGTAGTAGTTAGTAGTTAGTAGTGTATTGTGCCGGGAATTTGGAACAATTATTTTGCCGAACCGTCTTGGCAATCTTGGTCATCTTGGTCAGTCGGGGGGGAGCAAGATTGCCAAGCAATGTTGGCAATTTAGGTCATCTGGCCCCTGCCCCAGTTGCTCGCTGACTAGTTTACCTTTGAGAGACCAGGATTGCAAGATTGCTTGCAATCTTGCACCCCCCTTCTCCCATTGCTCGCCGACTAGTTTACAGTAACTTTTGGAGACCAAGATTGCAAGATTGCTTGCCAATCTTGGACAATCAATCTTGGTCTAAAAGGTAAACTAGTCGGCGAGAGCAAGATTGCAAGATTGTGTGGAAATCTTGCCCTAATTGT